TGCTGCTTCGTGCAAAGGCTCCTTGGGTGTTGGAAGCCCCTGAAGGCTCCGATGGCCCCTTCCAAAGCAAACTTGCTGGGATGGAAGGGCTCAGCTCAGAGCTCGGCCCTGGTGGCCCCAGCACAGGCACATCTATCAGATCACAGCCCTGCACGTGGTATCTGCTTTTTGGGGCTGGCTCACAGGGGCCACCAGCTCTCACGGAGACACCTCTGGGGATCAGCCCCACAGCACCAGTGGAGAGAGATTTTCTGGGTCTCTCCTTCACCCACCTTAACGACAAGCTCACGTGGAGCTGTTCCCACAGCCTCTGTCATTCCCACAGCCTTCTCCTGCCCGGAGGAGATGGGAAGGAGGTGAGGCTTTCCCAGAACAGGCAATGAACAGAGCTCCTTTCGTAGGGACTGTCAGCGTGCATGTGCAGACACATCGGATGGGGATGGAGGAGTGGGAAGGGGACACGTGGAGAGGTGGGGACTGTGCAGGCCCACACATGCCGTGGGATCTGTGGGAGAGGGGAAATCGCAGCAGCCCAAGCAAAGGGCTGGGACCAGGACCTGGCCATTCCTGCTGGGAGATGGAGCTCTCCAGGACAGGGGGTTGCTGGCACAGGCACATGCTGCTCCTGCTGCCATGGGAGCTCTCTTGTAGTCCCGTTGGTACTGGAAGGGGCTCAGGTTTCCCCTGGGCTTCTCTTCTCCAGGCTGAACAATCCCAGCTCTCCCAGCCTGCCTCCATAGCAGAGCTGCTCCAGCCCTCAGAGCATCTTTGTGGGCTCTGAACTCCCTCCAGCAGCTCCATATCCCTCTTATCCCAGAGCTGGATGCAGGATCACGTGTCCCTCCTTCATTATGCCAGGTCATGGAACCGTGGGCGGCCTTCAGGGCCTGCACAAGGATTGCAACATTCAGGACATCTCCCCAGCTCTGCAGGGTCCCAGCACGCTCCTTCCCCTCATCCTGCCAAGGTTTCACCTGTGCCAGCCAGACACGTCTCCCACAGGAGCCTTTCCCGTCCCCTTCCCTAGGGAAGAGCCGGCTCCCAGTGGCTGCCTCGCTCTGCAGGGTTAAGGGGCTCTTCTCTGTTTAGAAAGAACTTCACCCCGCTGCAGACTGAACAGCTCAGTGTTTGTTTCTTTGCACGCAGTATTTTCAAACAACTTCAAACTTGTTTATTGCAGCGGCCAGCGAAGCCCTTGGCAGCCTCCATGGGGCAGAACGAGTTGTCCTCAGTCCTGGCTGGTCCAGCTCCCAGGGAGAGGCAACAATTCCCACTGCAAGTATGCACCTTTCCCTACAATGCCCTGCTGGGACCAGCCAGCATTTTGCAGCTCAGGTGTGATGCTGCCAGGGGAAGCCTTGGGAATGCTGACTGGTAGAGCTGTGGGCTACTTCATTATGGAAAATACAGAATGTCAGTGTTTAGCCTTGCCTGCTGGTGCCTGAATGTGCCCTGAATCATAGTGAAGGAGGAAGACACTGTGTTCAGAGAAGTGAAAGCCAGTGTGATGTGAGCTGCTATTTCTGAAAGCGTTTTCTTCGTAACGCAGTTTTCATGAAACGCAAGCCCCAGACTTGTCGATAGTTCCGAAGTAGGAGTTGTTCCTGCAGAGATTTTGGCTGCAGAAAGCCCCAGACAGCTGCTCCTCATTTCCTACTAGTTTCGTTAATGTGAGAAAATACAAAATCTCGTGATGCCAAACAGATTTTCTTGGTCCTCTGTCATTTAATTCTCTCCCTTATTACAGGAATGGCTCAAGAGCTCCCTGTGGGGCACAGAGGTTTCTCCAAAGCGAGAGGCCACCTCTGGCTCTAAGGAATTTTCTCCCAGAGGCTAAGTATTCCTGCAAACCTCTGGGATGGAGACCATGGACAATACTGTGGACAGCAAAGGATCCTGTCAATACCTGTTACCAGACCCTGCTCCAGTGTCACCAGCTCCTGAGGTCTTGGGAACTCCTGAACAGACTTTCCATGCAGTGGAAATCATCAGCATTCTCATCTGATCTTCTCTGGCATCTTTTTCTGGGTCAGATGCAGGCTCCTCGCTCTCACTGACTTTTACTTTTCTCCCTGTAATCACCTGATTTCAAGGAATGCAAACCTACTG